CTGGCTGTAATTGAGTGCATAAGCCTAAAATGTGTGACATGTTTCTCTTTAGTGGAACAATATTGGCTGTTTTTAAGGTCTGTGCTTTGATATTAATGTGTCATATATTTGACACTATATTGTTCAGTTTTATGACCTGAATAACAGAAAGTTGAAGATTTAACATAAATTATATTGAAGTATTTGTAGTCTTTGACCATTTTATCCACTTGCACATACTGAAATAAAAGCTTATTCACTCTAATTCCTGTTATGTCTCTATGGCACACAAAAAGCTGCTCCTATCACAGCTGAAAAGTTTCATTGTTCCATTTGTTTTTCATTATGCAGAAAATTCTTAAATTGGATCATTTTCAAAGGGGGAACTTAACCATAAATGCAGGCCTGCAGCTGTCTCAAAATATAACTTGCATTTGTATTCATTTCTCACACTTCAGAGGTAACTTTGGAGAATTGAGCTTGAATTTGTATTCTTAACAGAATCCCATTGTCCAGAAGTGAAGTAAAATGAAACTGGTTCTTATTTTTTTTATTAATACTTTTTACTTCTTCTATATGCTTTGAGTACAGAAATACATAATTTTGATAAACTTTTGATAAACAAGTAGGTTGAAATACATTACTCCCATTTCATAGTTGCTTTTCTAACAGGAAAAAAGAATTTCAATCCCCTGAGAACAATTATTTATTAAATGGTAAACTTTGATCAAAATCTCTCTTCATGCTCCTGAATAATTGAGATGTGCATTAAAGTTGAACCAGAGTTTTAAGAATTTATTATCCAAAGTGCACAACTGTGGACTAATGATACTCCAAGATTTGTAGTGTTATTTAAAAGCAAATGTAAGGGAAACATTCACCAGTCAAGATTACCTGAGTTAACATCAAAAATGAATGGTGCCAATTAGCTTGTTCTGGTTTGGTGTTCATGCTCATTGGGTTGTCCCTACCAAACCAGTTGCTAATTTTCCTTCTTTCCACGTGCTTGGGCATTGATTTGAAGGTATGTAACAAACAAGAGGATTTTGTGAGGGAAGGAAGATAGAAATACATCAATGCAGTAGAATTACAGTAATACAGAAGTAATAGTTTTTCTATCATCCTTTTTCCCCCCCTTCTTTTAATGCTTACTTAACTGGTAAATGTCACAGGAGCTTCCTTAGTGTAGCTTCTTTTTGCAGTCCTTTTGCTCTCCATCATTTTTTTCCATGCTCAAAACTTTGACCTTATCCAGCCTGGGATTGATTCTTTACAGACATTCTCAGTATTCTCTGTGTCCTTTGAAGTGTTCTGCTGCTGAAATGTCCTGAGTTCTCTTGTATCTTGTGCCATTTTATATGTGGTTTAGTAGAGTTTTCACTGCTCACCTTCCTTTAATATTATTCCATTCCCTTTGGAATGGGACAAGGACTCACAAGGGCTTTGGCTTCAGCACTTTTGTATTTGTGGAACTCCCATCAATAGAGTTCTCGGTCTTAGAATTCATTTTTCATTATGTATTCAGTCCATCCTGCCAGGAAATGGGAGCCACATTTGCAGGCAAGATTCAGGAGTAACTTTGTGTAGGGAATATTCTTCCTGATGTTTAATCTGGAATTTTACATCGTGGATGTCATTGCAACAGGAAAAGGGTCTGTAATATCTCAGTCAGTATCTCTTGCTGCCAGCTGTACTGGAGAGAGAAAAAAGTGAATCCTCAACATACCAAACAATATTTTGCATCAGAAAAGAGAAGCACCCCCATGGGACTATTGCAGATCAGAAGGATGAGTGTTGATTACAGCATTTGGTCTGTGTACACTGGAGCTGGAGCAAGTTAGAATTTTGGCTTTTGTCCTTTATTTTCCTGAGGCTTTTATATGTAAGAGGTGATGAGCTGTGTCAGTTGTACCAGGCTGTTACCAGAACTTGATAACAGCATTTTGGACTCAGAACTGCTTGAAGATGCTTAACCTGTTAAGAAACTTCTGGCTCAAACCCCAGTGCCATGGGAGCAGGATTTTTCATTTAAGGATGCAATCCTTGAACTTGTGCTTTTACGTTGATTCTCTGAAGATGTTTGGCATTTCAGTAATATTATGTGAGCAGGTAGTAGACTGACAAACACTGTTAAATTACACCTGTTATTGCTATTGCTCTCCAATCTCTGACTTCAGACGTGTTTGTGATGAGAAAATAACAGACTAATTCATTAAACATACTTATTAACTGAAATTTTTCTTAGAGCTGCCCTAGCTCATAGCTACAGAAAGGTTACCAATCAATCTTTGCACAGGAGACCCAAGCAGAAAGTGCTCTTAACTAACAAACAGAAACTACTTAACTTTTTATATTCAAGATGGTATTAAAGTGAAATCCTTTGTCTCCAAGTAAATATTCTAGCAGTGATTTTGATTTAGTCTGTACATTTTCATTACCCTGAAAATTATTTAAGTAGGTTAGGAATTGGATGATATCAGGAAAACAGGGGAATCAGAAAGGAAATAAAATTATTTAGTATTAAACTTTTAAATTGATCTGAGAATAAACTTGAAAGTAGTCATTTCAACTTTCTAGAACATGGCCCTAGGATAACTATATGCCTTCACTAGACTAGGATAAGTTTATCCAAATAATTCTACATTTAGTGTTTACTTAGTTTGATTTCCCAAGTGAATGTGCATTAGGAGTGTAGCAATCCCATGGGCTTGGGAATAGTATTCCCCTCTGAGAATATTATTAGAATACTAAAAGTTTAAATGTGTGCTGCATCATGAGCTTTAATGTACCTTTCACAGTCTATTAGTTGATTGTCAATAAATTCAATATGGCACGCAGCTCCAAATGTTGCATTTTTGTTTCTTGCTGTTGAAATGAAATCAATATCTATGTACATAGAAGAGCAGTAAGAAATTTTCCAATAGTTTTATCTAAGAAATCAATCTATGTTTTTGCAGTCCTGAAAAATTTCAATTACAGTGTACAGATTCCTTAGTTAGTTAACTGTGGGTTACAGCTTAGCAGGTAATGTTAAACTGCATGATTCATCAAGTCACATGTGCAAAGATAAGTGCTTAGTTAAATTAGGATTTCCATATTAAATAACTTAGTTTAAAATAATTTAACCTTTTTTTTTGTCATTCCTGCCCCCAACAGGGAGATTGAGACATGAATCTTGGGAATGTATACAGAATTATAAATAATATACAGGTTGAAGTGAGAATAGGCAGGGAGAGGCCTTAGAGCCGGGTGAATAAAGATTTTAATATAATTTTTACTACATTAAATAGATTTGATTAGAATTATGTAAAATAGTTGCATTTCATGTATTCCTTTATTTGCCTTCAAAGATGTACTCAATTGTTAAAACAGATAGTCCTGTAGGTGTTTTAATTATTCTGGCTTTGTTTTCAAAGTGAAAAAGAATTCTGAATAGTTCTTGCAGACTTACTATTGTGGTTCCTTCATTACAGTATCTGAATTCTTGTTACCAAAACTAGTTGAATTTTTGTTTACATATGCATTTGTAATTCACAATACTCTGGATCTTTTCAATTTAGATGTGCTAATTTTGGAATTATAGTATTCCTTTTTTGGAATGATAGTCTTCCTGTAGTAAATGTATTAGTGTTTTCTACACTGAAATATTCTAATTTGACAAAATTTGCGTGGTATCTGCATAATACAGTGTATTTGCAGTGTTGCAAAGAAGCCTCCTATAAATTTGAGAAACTAGGTGTCTGAAGAGAGAGCTTCAGAACGACCAAAGCATGGGCAGTGTTTGTGGGAAAACACAGTCACTTAATCTCTGAAATACTTCCAGTCCTTAGAAAAATTGAATTTTTTCTCTGGAGGACTTGCAATATCTCAGAGAGAAGGACCATACCTCAGTCACCAGGAAAGGCTGCAATTCAGTGTTGAAATTGGGCACATCAAAATCCAAATTTTATTTTTATCTAGTTTCCACAAAAATACAGTTGTTACTGCCCACTCTGTGTGACCGTGGTTGGTGTTGCTTTTTTACATAAGTGTTCTCCTGATATTTGCCTTGCAATTTACTACTAAATTACTGGGGGATTTTGGAACTGCAAGGCAGCGTCATCAGTACTGTTCCAGTTGAATTCCTGATGTAAAATACTGAGATTATTAACATACACACACACATGCATGAATGAATAAACTACAGATTGCATTGAAGGAGCAGAGGGAAAGGTCACTCTGGATCTTAAGTTCTGATGCTTGGTTTAGAGTTTCTGACTTGTGCTGTTTCAGCATTCTTTTAAACTGTGCCATTCCCTAGGAAGGAGTGAAATCTCAGTTTTCTGTAAGTATATTTCACTTCTGCATGACATTTTCCTAGAGAAAGCGAATATTTAGCATGTAATTGGTAATAAGCTCATGAAATAATGAGCAGCAAACAAAAACAGAATCACAAAAACTACAGCTGTGTTAAATTATACTTAATGTCCTATACAAGCTGAAAGAATGAACTGTGTTTATTTTCCAAACAATAAAATTTCTAGTTTAATTTTCAATGTAATTTTGTTAGGAAGTAAATTAAGTTTCATACTTTGGATAAAATTAGGTTTTGCAATTCTGATGCTACAAAGCTAATTTACAAAGTTGAAAAACTGTGTTGAGGACATAGAAATCAATTTCATAGTGGTATTAAATTATTTTTTCCCTTTGGTCACTGTGTAGTAGAATATGCTGGAAACCATGGTAACAAGAAGTGCTGCCATGGTTGCCCCAGAGTCATGTTAAAATGAGCAAGCTGTGTTTGTCTTGATTAAAATAGGAGAAAGAGAGAAAAAGGAGGAAAAGGGAGAAGGGATAGAATGAGGTTAATGACGTGTGCAACAGCACCAGCAAATGCAGTCAGCCGTGGATCTGGGGCTGTGGGTCCTGGAGCTTGTGGTGTCTCACATGAAGGTGCTGAGCCAGGAGGCTTTGGGGAGTGAAGGACACACACCAGCCCTGCTTTTCTTTACATGATTCCCTTCCCTGTCTGTGTTTTGCAGGTTTATATCAGGATAAAGGATGATGAGTGGAATGTCTATCGAAGGTATGCGGAGTTCAGAAGCTTGCATCAGAAGTTACAGAATAAGTACCAGCAAGTGAGGACTTTTAACTTCCCACCAAAAAAGGCCATTGGAAACAAGGTACTTGAACTCACAGTATCAGTAGAAGTTGGGGGAAAACCTCTCTTATCCATACACAAAAAATGAGGTGACTCGAATATTTTCATACCTGCTAGTAGCTGCTATTTTCATAGACTTTCCCCCTGCCAGCTGGAGATTCACTGATGGAGGTAATGCATTGGTTTTTCCACTTACTGAGAAGTTGTAGTGAATGGAATATTGGTGTAGTACACAAATGCACAAACCCTCAAAAACTCTGCTAGACAGCCTTCTTTGTAAAATGAAGTCTCTTCTCCATTTCTCTCCAAAAAAGTGCCAGCAATTAACACTGGTGAGTAATTAATCAAATCTTTCTCTAAATTTCAAAAAATATGAATCTAAATTCCTTGAATTCCTGCACTCTTCACCAACACTTTTAAGTTCTTTAAACCAGCTTTTTAAAGACATATAGGTACTTAATTCCTGTAATCTGTATCTTTGTGTCTTAGCCTTGCCATTTTAAAATGGGAATTTGTGTTCTTCTGTCATATAGGGATTTTGAAATGAAACAGTAAATATTGTAGTATGTATGTAGTAAGTATGTAGTGCCATGTAATTAAAGTCTCTAATAATCAAAACTTCCAACTGATCAAGAGCATAAATAGATACACTGCAAGTCCAGTAAGGATTGAGAAGTAATTGAAGTAATTTTTCCTTTGCAATGTAGGAATTATCTAAAAGTTTTTTTAGCTATCACAAGTAAAATCTCCAATATATTGGAGATTTAAATTGTGTTTATGACTGAAACATCTTTACTAAACTGCTGGGTTCTTAAATTAGAGTTTTTAAGGTTAAGCAAATTTTTTAGCTTTTACAAAGGACTTTGTCTTTTTACTATTTTTTTTACCTTTGTGTCACTGAGTTCTTATATAAAATATTTTAGAAACTCCAGCCATAGTGATCCTTGTAGTCATCAAAAGACAGCTGACATAATGACTGCAAAACTCAGATCTTCATGGCACTGTGTTTGGTTTATGATCACAGTACAAGGTATATTATTAAAATGCCACAATTGTCCTTTGTCTATGTTAGAAAAACAATCTTTGCTAATTTGTATGAAGTAATATGAATTTTAAAAAAGAAATAGAAAAAAGTTAGAAATTCCTTACTGACATTCAGATGTCAGTGAATGTGGATTATGAATGTTTAAAGATAGTGACTTTGACTTCCAATGATTTCCCAGGTATTTTGTAAAAATGAGTAGGTAAGTTTGGCACATGTGAAATGGCAGTGATGCACATAATGTGGTGGTGGTGATACAGATATATAGGAAATGTATCAATAAAATCCATGTGTCTGTTTGCTTGGCATAAGGTCCAGTTAATATGGTTCATTGCCTGCTGACTGAGGAAATGGAAGTACTTATAGGAGATTTCCTGCTTTTTTTTCATGTATTAGAAGATCATGCATTTTTCATTTAATTTTTAGTGGAAGGGTTTGTAATGGAAACCAGGCATTTTCTTCTTTCTTACATAACTAATTCTCCTTTTTTTGAAGTGATGGAGTATCAGCCACTTCAGTAAATTACAAAAGACGCCTTTTAAGCTTTTTTGGATACTCTTTCATCTTTAATTACTTTAAATACTAATTGAGTTACAACTTCAGTTGCACAGTTGATGCATACAAAATTATCAGTTGAGCAACTCATTAAAAAATTTGCATTGCTTATTCTTACGGTGCTTTAGCTTTGAGCCAAAATTCTACCTTAATCTTGCATAAACCCACAACCACTTATCAGGTCTCAGACAAAAAGTTCTTTCTTTACAGTAAGAAGTGGGTGCCATCCCTTGCACTCCTGAAGGTCTCCTGTTATGAGATGTGAGGCAGTGCTGTGGTTGTGACCCGGCAAGTCACAGGGTGACATTGTCACCTCAGCTGTGCAAGGCTCAGTCTGTCACACTGGAGTTGTTTTATATACAGCACATTGTGCAGGCAGATTTTTGTCCTTTTAGTGGGGCTATTTTCTATGTGTCACAGAATGTGTTCCCCTTTGGAAATTGTACCATTTGGAAAATAACCGTGCTGACTGAGATGGGTTAAAGGCTCTGAGAAGGCCCTGTTTTCCATGGCCAGTTGAAGGTTTAAAATGAAGGTTTAAAAATTTAGTATAAAATTAATTAATTCATGTGGGAATGTGTAGGGGAATAGAATATAAGAAACTAAAGAGAGTGTAGAAAGTAATCTCACCCCTAAGGAGTTGCAGCTGGGCCAGTTATCAAAGATCAGTTGCAGGCCTGACTTTACCAGGCCACAGCTGTGAGCAATGAGAAGCAGAGTGCTAGAAAAGAGTGGGGTGGCTGGGTGAGAAGGGAACTGGAGTCAGTGGCTGCTTTGGGAAGGGGAAAGAGTCAGTGCTGTGAGGAGCTGCCCATGAGAAACACCAAGAAGGTGTGGAACTGTTGTGGTAAGGAGACAGCAGTGTGGAATCCCTGCAATAAGATGACAGCAGGAATGTCTGTCTTGGAATTGTGCAGAACTTTCAGTTTAGGATGAGGATTTGTGCAGGATGTTACACATGGAAGTGTTTGGTAATGAACATTAGAAGAGATATTGCCAATACTACTTTTTTCAATGCTGCTTTTTAAATGTAGTGGCTACCACAGCCCATTTACCTTTAAATATGCAGTTAGATTTCAGTAGATATTTTTTCTCATGATATTACTTTTGCTGGTTTTGATAGAATTAGAGCAGTCTTTCCATTTCTAGATTAATCAATACAATCTTAAATCAATGCCTAAAGAAGTGGTTCAGTAGCTGAATTCTGCTGACAAAAGTATCTCTTATATCAGTCTATGGTTTTCAAATCCATTGCAACTTCTCAGTGTTATTAGATGCCCAAATAACATATTGGTAAAAACCAGTCCTCCATGTGTAAATGGCTAAAAATGATAATTTTACAGCTTTTGGAAAATGGCATTGATGCTTTTATATCCTTGAGGTATCCTTTTATATCCTGAATGAGTTTATTCACTGCATCCCTTCTGTTCTGTGGGGTTAATGAAGGTGATTTGCTTCTTGTATATGTCAGATGCATCCAAAGGTCTTGCTGTAATTGAAACCAGCCCTGAATTTCATGTTCAGTTGTGTGTCCCAGGTTTAGGAACCCCCAGGACCACAAGAGGACACCATATTCTTCAGAATGACCTGGAATCACTCCTGCAGATGGATACAATACTGTCCAGTGCTTTGCTGTGCAAAATATTGGAGCTCAGAGGAAGGAGCTTACCTAGAAGAGAGCAATGTAGAATAAAATACAGAGAAGTTTTAATTTTCATGCATATTTTCCCTGTTTACTGCAGTAGAACTCAGGGAGGTCAGATTCAAATGCAAAGTTGCAGAGTTTCACATTGGGAAAATGCAAAAAGAAAGCAGAATTTCAGCTGAATGAGTATTTTAAAAAAGTTGAAAAATCAAAGATTATATATCTTCATCAAGTAGCAGTGGAATTTGAAAATATTTAACAATTATAACTAATTATTAATAATAATATGAATCTTGATCATTTGTAATGTGTTTTTGCCTTTCATTTGTTTTCCTTCAGTTGAGACAATTTATCTTAAAAGTTCATGTTCATGGTATTTCAACAAATTATGTGTGTAATATTAAAAGCTAGCTTTAATGCTTGAGGAAACCTACATTTAATAACAGAAAACCAATTAGTTGAAAAATAGCTGAAAAGAGGAAAGAAGACTGCTTTGGACAAGTAACCTTTTTGCAATTACAAAGAAGAGTGTGTATTTGCCTTTCAGCTTGGTAACCTCATTTTCAGCATATTAGTTTAACATTTGAATTTAGTTTGAACTAAAGTTTGAACTAAAGTAAAGCAGGGATGAGAGTAATTTCTTTTATAAATGTTGCTTTGAATCAAGTTAGATATTTACTGAAGGAAAATAATAATGCTGGCAAGAGTCCATGTATTAATTTTCATATATACTAGTGCCCATGCTGTGTATCTTCAACCAAAGATCTTTCAGTGCTGGTAGCAAATAGTTGTCAACATTTTTATGAGTGTCCTGACAAGAATAAGGATTCTTTTTTCAATTCATTGCCTTGTTTGAGTAAAACAAGAAATACATTTGTTCCCTTGTGTTGTGTGTATAAGAGAAATGTCATATACTCAGCATATATTTTAATTATTTTTAACATGCAGATCAATTTCTTTAAAACTTACAAATTTCAGCTGTATTAACATTTGAACTGTTCGGGTTTTGTAATTTTAAAACATGTTCCCCATGTATCAGCCTGGTTTGTGATTTGCTCAGTATTTTCTATGTAGCTGTATATACCAAGGTTTGTAATTTCAAACTGATTTTTCTTACGTGAGATAGATTTTTTTCCTTTTAGCAAGTCTTCAGGTACCTTGGATCTTTTGAACTCATCTGTCCATTCTCACTGATTGTCCCTGCTGCCTTCCTGGCAGGAGTGCCCAGGACGGGCTGGGTTCCCTGGGGCAGCCCTGCAGTGTGCCTGCTGCTGGGGAGCACGTCAGGAGGAGCTCTGTACAGTCACCACTTGATTGGAAAGGCTTCCCTGTAGGCTTTTGCAATACAAATACAATTTAATTTTTTTTATTTAAGGTAACATTTAGCTTACATTTGGCTTCTGAACCTTTGCTGGTGTTGTAGTTGGTGTCTCTCAAAATAATAATGAAATATTAATACATGAATATTTACTGGACTGACTAGTCTAATTTTTTAAATATTGCAGCAGCCTTAAAATCCCAGTTGCTGCTTCTACATTGGGCAGATTGTAGTAATTGAGTAAAGATCTAATTAAGAATCCTCTTGCAAGAGTGTTGTCCCAGTAGAGGGCATATCAAAATAGAAATTGTTCTTTGGTTCCACTGAAGACCTGAATTCACTGATTGTCTAAGTGAGGAGAAATTGAATCAGGTAGCTTTGCCCTGAGTGCTGACTTGACTGCATGATATCCTCTGCTTTCCTTTAAAATACTGGATACCCCACATGGAAAGGATACACAGC